GTACGAGTACAAAGCGGTGGGCGTAGATTTTTGTTTGTCTTTTGTTTTTTTTATTCGCCCACTCACGTATTGTATACTTCCGTGAAGCTGGCAATGAAGAGATTCCACGCGAACCGGACCCGCTAAATTTAGGGGTAAAATTTCCAGTGGGAGCTGGGCCGGCCCCGCGGTCCCAGCGAAGCACGGTTTCCAGAAATTTGGGGTCCAAAATACTGTGACGACGGGACCAGGGGGTTGGATAGGTACTTGTCTTTACTATTTCTTTTCTTTTTCTTTTACTTATTTGGTTTCTTTGGAATATACCTTATCTATTTGGGGCGTAAATCCTTTTCATGTGTGTTTGATACTTTGACGGGACAGCATAGACTCGCATGCGTGAATCGAGTCTCCAAGGAAGTTGGAAGTTAAAAGGAGGCTGGAAGCGGATACACTATCATGATCATGATGTGATCTAAAAATTGTGGAGTATGTTGTGAGGGAAACTAAAATTGTGCAAAGTGGTTAGGGAACAAAGAATGTTGAGGGTTTGAGGGAAGGAAAAAATATTAAATTAAAGTTGAAAATGAGGTTTTATATCGTAGAATATGTGTTTCTATTGGTTGAAAATATGACGGTTAAGTTATCAATCACGTTGAGAAAGTAACGGTGAGAAGATATTGATGTTTTTTATTATGAGATTGATTATTTGGGAAAAATATTTTGAATTAATATTATAATTTTTTGTGATGTAATGTATATAATATAAAAAATAATTGAAAGGATAAAAAAATAATTGAAAAGCATATTTATGATGTAATAAAAAATTTTCGCAAATAACTCCATATCCATCCAATATTTTCAAGATGTTGAACGGAAACAAAAAAACTCTTATTTTAATTCATTCTACACATTTGAAATATACACACATGTATTTACTTATAAATACATATATATATCTATATATGTATGTGTGCACGTGCGTACACATGTATTCATACACACATGATTATGCACAAATACATCTTAATTCTGTATTTTTTGTATAGCATAACATACCTCCCCAAGATTATGATAATTGTAGAAAGGTGCCGTTAAGTTGGAAAAATCACGTTTAACTTTCTTTTATTTTAATTTGCACATAGGAAACATTTTGGATAAGATGATATGCGCACACTCTCATTATGGTTTACCAAACATACTTTTTTTGTAATTTGAAAATGTGTTTTCTCCATTTTCATGTTCTTTAACCTTCTTGTGAAAAAAAAAAAAACCTTAAGTTCTATTTGATAATATAATTCAATACTTAAATTTAATGGGTTCAAATCTTAACATGTTTAAATGTATTTGATAACCATAGTTATAACATCCGATGTTATTGAATTTTCTCGATAAAATTTGTTTTAAAAAATAAGTGATAAATTATTTACTTATCACCTAATGTTATATACACTCAAATATATCAAATTTAATACTTAACAATTCCATAACTTAATAGATTCAAACTTTGTAGTTTAGATTTCAATTTTCAATTTTCAAGCATTAATTTTATCAAATGCACTCTTAATAATTCACGTTATGCTTTCGGATAACCTAACCTGACTTCAAAATAAAAAGGAAGTAATTTTTCGATTGCCAAATTTGGATTAATATTATTTTGTCCCATAAATCTATTACAAAATCCTTGATATTTAACTATATGAATCCCTATTATTATCCATGATTCCAAACATATTACATTTTTATTTGACAAATTTTATATTAAACAAACGAATCAAGCAACTTATCGATATAAGAAATATTAAATATGATTGTTTTTTAGCCTTCTTGATATAAGAGATAGACTTTTTCTCATATCATTGCCACTGTAAAAATAATCTTATCACTTATTGCATCAGAATTACATATGTACTGACAACAGAAATCTTGATTTTGAATTTGATAAAAAGAAAAATAAATGACATATAAATCTTCTCAGAATTTATTGCTTTTATTGTAAGAGTTAGTTTAGATTGAGAGAAATATAGAGAAGAGAAAGTTGGGACTTTTCTCTTTATTTCAACCCCGAATTGTAATTACAAAAATAAAAGGAGTGATAGCTTCCATCTTAAAATATACTTCCATACATCTTGAATTATCCCAAATAGATACATCTACAAAATGTAACAAAAAATTCAAATTTTAGTCGAAACCTTAACCTTAGACGAGCGCTAGTGCTATTATAATTACAAAATTCAAAAGGTCTATACATAAATCCAGCTCATCCTAGTCATACGATCGTGTTCGCACCCCATGTAAGGAAAACAAAACTAATGTGATAAGTTACAGCTCAGTGAGGTTCCAAATATTATGCAACAAATATCAGTCTCAGAACAAGTAGAAACGAAACCAGGCAAACCAAAAACAAATAGCATTTCAAGTGGAAGGATAAATTATTCTCGCTTGAGCCATTTAACTCGCCATTGTTAACACTCCGTCAACCTTAGAATACCTTATTAGGATCAAGTAAATCACTACTTCACGCCATCTCCGTCCACCGATCATTCCCCTTACCGGGCTCGCACGCCAGTCAAATACATGTAGGGTAATATTCAAGTATACCATGATCATAACAAGACAAGATACAGGACCCATGGTTCATCGATCATCTCAGCCAAACTCTTGTTGACTCGATTTGACCAACTAGCTGATGGAGATGGGATCCTAAAGTAAGTCTAGTCAACGAGATAATACTCCAATCGACTTTCAAGTCATGCACAAGTATATCATATCACAAGTGAATAAGTCTGCACGAATTCAAGCAAGTGGAGTCGAGTGCGATAAAGTACACACTCTCCATTTTCAATGGCAAGTCAAGACATCTAGTAAGCCCAACAATAAGTTACATAGTTCAAGTCATACAATTGAAACACTCACCAAATTATTTACTGCTTATCAATGTTACGCGTAGGCCCTGCACCCTGGTTACTCCCGAAATCTACAAGTGAATATCACATAGTAAGATGCAATCAATAGGGTTTCAAAATGCCCAACTTATCTTGTCAATATCAAATGAAAGATTCATATAAAAATAACCCATAAAACTTAGCAAAACATAGGTGAGGTATATTCACAACTTTGGAGGAAAACCAATTATAGTTTTCAAGTTATAATTTGATACAAGTTACTAGAAACCATCATTTTCCTTCCTTATGTAAATGCATGATTTTGGTACAAAGAAAATCCAGCTTATGACTCAAACAAGGCAAATTCAAGCAACTTTAAATGAGATTAGGCCAAACCAATCTAAATACATGCCACATCCCTCATTTTTACTCACCTACACTATATGAATGAAAACGGACAGCACCTTTCCTTGTTTTGCCTTAACTTTTCCCTCCAATTTCAAAGCTACACTCCCTGGCCAAACAACCCAAGTCAAATCCACAAGTTATAAGGAAAAAGGGGTTCTTATCCTAGGCCATTAAACTCACTAAATTAGACATATACATAACATATATCCATCATATATTCAAGTTGGCAAATTAAATCCTAGGCTGGAAATTTACAAGTAAAGTTGAAAAAACCTATTTTGAATCTAAAAATTCATACTAAAGTTAGAAATCTTCATATCATAACTCCCATGTGCATAACAAAGTTAGATACTGTCATTTCATTATTTGAAAATAATGTATCAGCTGAATATAATCAACAAAAGCTGGAAATGGCAGCCTACTTCACAAAACTATAAAAATCTTTCCCCGACATACTACAATCAAGTCATATTTCCTACCAAATGCAAGATTAAAGAGGAAGAGTGGTTCCTTACCAAGAAAACCTGCAATTCCTAAGGTGACAGCCTATAGCTTTCTTTCCCAAAATCCATATCACACAAAGTTCCTTCTTTCCTTGTTGCTCCCTTCTATGGATTGGTTTAAGATTTGAGGTTGATTTCTTACTAGTTCTAACTTGGAATCAAGGTGAAGTTGAGGAAGTTTTTCTCTCTTTTCTTGTCTCTCTCTCGGCCAAGAAGAAAGAAAAGTGAAGGATTAATGGCTGAATTTTGCAAGATAAAGACTAGAGTTAGTCTTGGTCAAAAGGTGTCTTGATTGCTAACACTTGGCATTCCATCATTTTTTTCCTTTGTTTTGCCTTCTTTTTCTCTCTTTTTTTGGTCAAGAATTTTGGCCAACACCCCTAAAAGTTTAGGGAAGGGAAAATAAAAGGGAAATAAGAAGATTAAGGAAAGAAAATCTTGATCAAGTAAGGTCTCTAACCGGTAACAAGCAGCGCGAGTCGGTTCAAATCTATTTCTTTGTCTCTGTTGTATTTTTAACTTATGATTCACTAATTTACTCTTAACACTTTTAATCATATACTTTCTCTTACTTAATACTCACTCCCATCCACCAAATTTAGTGCGCACACCTTACCAATTAATCACATTATCGCTATGCACCATAAATCATAGCATGTACCAGTTATAAAAGTAAAAGGAAAACTCCAAAACTCTCAACTCTATTGTTTGTTACACCTATTAAGACAAGTAAATTAGTATTAAGGAAATTATAAATTAACTTATTCAAAAATAAAGAAAATTATAAGAAAATATAAACAAATTTTCAAGTTCACACAATAAGTAAAATATAAATATTTTCAGATTTGGAAATCCTTAAATATGGTAAACACATCTCATTATAATATCTAGATTTTAGTAATTGATTACCAAATTTGACGATTGGAAGTATGTATACATGTTTTTCAGGCTACAAACACTGTATCTTATTTTCGAAATATTTTTTATAGTTTTACAGTGTAATTTTTATGCATTTTTCAGATGTATAATATCTATTCTTCAAATCTTTGGTATATGCGTACATTTGATGGCATTTTTTATTTTTGCAATTAGTGCAAATTTCATTGAAATTATGATGTTTTATTAAAAAGAAAAAAAAGAAAAAGTAAAATACACAAATGAATTAGCTATCCTCTCCTAAACTCCCAAACTAGACCTTGTGGACCTCTGCTTCAGAGTATGGACTGGGTCTAAGCAAGCCTAAGCCCAATTCCAGCACCATTTCAGATAATTCCTCAACTGCGCGGCGGGCTGAGCGTAGAACAGCGGAAGTCCGAAACCCCGAGCTCTTCGGGAAGGGGAGGGGTCGTCAGCCGCGTCAGATCACCGCCTGGCGTGGCGTCCACGATCCCATACCTGGGTCCCACCTGATGACGCAATACACCGCCTAACGGCGTTGCCGGAAATGAATATATTTCTCCGAAAGAGGAGATATAAACAATAATATCCCAACGACGTCACCAGTCGTCCCCAGCTAGCAGTAACTTTCACCTCTTCAATCGGTTCAGCTCATACTCTTGACTACACTGCTATATAACCAAGCAGATTTTGATATTTCAATTTTCAAGTAATTTTCCACCATTTCCGCCTGATTGGAACCTCCGAGAGAAGTGGCTATGGCGATCGCCAACGCTTTCTTCAGTCCTGCTGCTGCTGCTACCTTAGCACCTGTTCGATCCAAGTTGTCCCATTCCGATTGTGACTTCTCTGCTCCTCACTTGAATCTCTCCTTTTCCACCTCCTCGTCTAAACTCACCCGCGGGTTATTTCATTCCGGAATCACTACCAAAAAGTAAGCAAACTGTTCAACTTCTTAATGTCTAACGGCTGAAAACTTTATTTATAGTTTTTTTTAATGTAATGTTTGATCTAAATAAAAGTATTATATTTTGTTGCTTGTATTTTGATAGGAATATTAGTTGCGCTTCGATCGATGGTGTGGAATCAGTTAGTTCAGCCTCATTGGTTAGTTACGATTTACCAAGTTTCTTGTTTAGCCTTGTCTTCTTCTTCTTTTTTAAAAAGTTCTTTTTATTGTTCAGTCGCTTTAAGTTGCTGTGAATAATATCAGGATTATCCAAGTTTTTCAGTGAAATCACAACTATGAAGTTATTTGTTGTTTATTTCTGTTTAGCGCATTATTATACAATTTGTTTTTACTGAAAAGTGTGCTGCGGAAATGTTGGAAATTACTTGATTACAGTAGTACTCTTTTGAGAGATTTCATTTGATTATTAAGCCTGTTAAAATTGCTGTTTCCAGAAATCAGAGCAGGATAGAGATGGTATTCCTATGCCTATTGTTCTGATAGATCAAGATTCTGACTCTGATGCAACAATAGTACAAGTTAGCTTTGGCGATCGTCTTGGTGCTCTCATTGACACGGTGAAGTCACCATCCTTTGTCTGCCTGTCATCACGTTTCTTTTTCTTTTTGTGCCAGTTTTATTATTTGGTATTCGTTATATAGTTGTTTTTGAAATATTTGAAAGTAGTTCATGAGGTATCTTTTGTATCAAGTGGAAGGGGGTAGGGAAAGTTAGGAGACTCAAGTCTTTGTAAGTTATTGTAAGCCATCTATAACCTTTTCAGATTTATGGCATCAGGTCTTTTGGAAATTTTTAGATACTGTGGACCTCATCTTTTTATCAAACTCCTCAGTGTACCTTTTTGTAAGAGGTACTGACTTGTAAGATATTGTATGTCATGTTTCCTCCTGTATAGACTAGATGTGATGGAGCCTGAGGTAATACTCTTCCAGTTAGACCACAAATATCTGCCTTTCTGTATCCTTATGCTCATTTAACCCATGGTTTTTAGTTAGCCCAACTGTGTGAGATTTTTTACGATGCTAGATATTCAGATTTTTTATGGGGACTTGCTGCTTAAGATTAATGCCTTTTTCACTTTCCTAATCTTTTCAAATATGTCATCTTGGATATTTTTCATCTTTAAGTAAGTTTATATAACATGCAGTCTTGGTTTTCTCTGGAGCAGATGAAGGCACTAAAAGATCTTGGTTTGGATGTTGTGAAAGGAACTGTCAACACTGAGGCCTCAGTGATAGAAACAAAATTTTTCATCATGCGTCTGTAAGGAACTATTTAGTTGCTTTTCGAAATTGATGGAAAGTTCTCACTATTTGGTTGCTGTTTCCGATGCTGCTTGTGGTCTTATAAGTAGACTAGATTCCCTGTTCCTGCTGCTATGAAGAATGGCACGATAGTTGTGTAACTATGCTGATGGGTTTTGAAAATATTTCTTATGGTTGATGATGCAAAATTCACCTTTTTGTCATCTGATTCTGGTGTTGGCATAAAGATAATTCACATTAGTTTACTTGGTAAAAGATTTCAGTTTCTTAAGGAAACAATATGTCTAAACTACTTGTATTAAATTTGTATTAAATTCCAGAAAGAACTCAATCTGATTTTTGAGATTGCCATCTGTTGAGAAAAGAATTATTCACGGGCAAATAAAAGTTCGATAGATAAATAAATGGAATTCAGCTTAATAGGTTAATCTGAAAAGAAAAAGCAATCTTGAAGCATTGCCAACAATTATTCACAAACTTTTTTGGTGCTCCAACCCACTAGGAGTACCTTCATGAATGAATGTTGGACAGATATTTGAATGCTCACTGGTTTTAGCGGGAAGTTTGCCACAGACATTATCAAATAGCGCCCTTTGATGAGAGGTATGAGCAAGAAGCTTTGAGAAAGCTGGTGTTTTCTGAATTATATCAAGCTAGTAAGCCAATCATGGGTATTTGAAGTGGAGTATCCAGGAAAAAGCAGAACATCTGATGGAAGAACAGGGAATCCTTTTGAACAACCCATTCTAATAGGAAAGCCTTGTATCTTAAATAATTCATCAAGTTGATGATAAAATTCATGGATGTTGAAGTGGACATTATGCATTTGTTACACAGCAACCCCTTAAGTTGTCGTGTGTCTGCTGGAGGTTACCTTTTGCATGCATGTATTAATTCTAATTCAGATATCAGATGTGCCATATCCCTTTTTTTTTGGAATGGTTTACAATAACTCTCATATTAGGGCAAGTGGACGCAAAGTTGAAGATCCTGATCTTCTGGAGAGAATTCGTCTTACCATTATCAACAACCTGCTGAAGTATCATCCAGTATGTTTCTATTGCTAATGTACTCATATTTGGACACCATTTAATAGTTTTCCAGGATTTTCACGTGCTTATTCATTTTTTATTGTGTACTTTCCTATCTCTTAAGGTTGTTTTTGTTCCTTATACTATTTAACTCTTTCCTTCATCTCGATGATATGTACATATCAGGAGTCTAGTGAGCGTCTTGCAATGGGTGAGGCTTTCGGAATAAAAGCACCGGCAAAGAAGGTAATTCCCTTTCCCTATCTATCCTAGTCAATCTGATTTCCGTGTCTCTTTTAAATTTCCTTATATTTAATTATCAAAATAGAACACAAATTTCCTTATATTTAATGATCAAAATAAAATACATAATCCTGGTTGATGATTCATTGTAACTGATTAGGAATTTCTTCCATAGAACTTGCTTTTGCAATCAATACTGCCCACCCATATTTTTTCTACTACCTCAATCATATGTACATTGGTCCTTTGGGGTCTGTTGATTTGCTCACTAATTTTTTTTAATTACACTTGGATGCAATTTTAAACAAAGAATTTCTACGTAATGCAAAGGCAGTTAGTCATTCATAAGAGTAATGTGTTCCACGGTACAATGAAGTTTTTCCATTCTTTCCTAATCAGTGATTGCTTGAGGGCCTAGTAACTTTGCCAGATGAAGAACCAATAGTTACTCTCTCTAGTTGATAAAATTGCATATTAAATATGAGTGTTGCTTCCTTCCTGTAACAATCAAACCTTCCTTCAGATTATTGAAAGCTTAGTTTTGGCTGGAGATTTTAGTTTATAGTGCTTGGTACATCAACATATTCTACTCGAAAGATTTCCTTTTGACCAGTTGGCCATATCCTCTTGTTGATTGCTGTATACGGTGATGCTTATGCATTCCAATCATGGTTTGGTTTCTCAATAATTGTTCATGACTAGGTAGATGGAAACGTGCCTAGGTGAAAATGAGTGTTGAATTTTTTTTTTTTTTGGAACTTACTACCTTGTAAACTTTTGACTTTTTCCTGTCAAAATGGCAGCTTGATGTTGATATTGCTACTCATATACATGTCAAGGATGATGGACCTGCAAGGAGGTGTGCATTTTTGCAGCTTGAGTTCTTTATATGCATGTGCCCCAAGTTATTAACTGGCTTTCAAACTAATACTAAGTGTTGGGTAGCTTTTTCCGAGTACAGTTCTGTGGCATCTCAGACTGAACTCATTTGTTTGCTTTTGTCTTGTGGTTTCAGCTTACTTTATATTGAAACAGCTGATCGGCCTGGGCTGCTCTTAGAGATGATCAAAATTATGGCTGACATCAATGTTAATGTGGAATCTGCTGAAATTGAAACAGAAGTATGCCCTCCCTGCCCCCCCTCTCCCTGAGTTGTTGTCTGAGTGAACATCTGTTGTTATATTTTGGCGTCAACTAATACTTACTAATTTTTAGGGTCTAGTAGCAAAGGACAAGTTTCATGTCAGTTACAGAGGGCAAGCATTGAACAATTCCTTGTCTCAGGTAATTGAAATCTGCTTTAGTTTTTTAGTCTCTGCACGCGCACGTGTGTGCATGTGTGGGCATGCATGAAAACAAAACAAAAGGGGTCACATGCATACAAATGCTCTTTAATATTGTCAATTGATAGTCCGACTAGAATTTCTACTACTTAGAGTGTCCTGGGTACTACCATCCTGTTGAAGTCCCCTTTTGTATTTGACAACTGATTCATCTTTGGTGTTCCCTTTAAGCCCAAATATTATAAATATAATCCTGGGTGTTTTTGTTCTTTGATTACAGGTTTATTGCACTAGTCCAGAACAGAAAGATAACTAAGAGTTCGAGTGCTATTTACTGATTAGTCCTTGATGAACTTGCACGTTTTTTCCTTGGAAACTTGCAGCTGAAATGGTTCAATAAAATTTATGTTTTGCCTGAATAATCCTATAGTTAAGGTGAAGAGCCTTTGAGATTTACTCATAAAATAAGGGAAGTGGCATTTCTTGATCTAGAGGCATGTCTTGGGATCTTAGGCAAGATAACATGTGTTTCAATTAGCAAAGTCAAAAGACCCACTCAATTGGTGAATAGGGGGCTGATGTTGAGAGTTTCCAATGAGCAGAACTTCTTTCTATGTTTTGCCAATGATCCTTTTGTTTAAGCATGTGTTCCTTGCATGTTAAACTTGCACTTCTCTGTAGTTACAATTTGAACCTGCAGGTGCTAACTAATTGCCTGCGTTACTACCTCCGGAGGCCAGAAACTGATGAAGATAGTTACTAAATGGTATCTTCACTGTATACTCACTGTACAAACCTTTGCGCTGCCTCAATGGAAGGGCTTGAGTTACTATTGCATTATGATATATCAGGAAATTGAGCTCACATTCCTTGCCATTTTTTAGGGTGTATTTGCAACATTGTTACCATTGAAAAGATGTCATCATTCTATTAGAAAACTAATTTTCCATTATTATGTCAAATTGAGGAACAGGCCATGTGAAGAGTTTAAACCTTTTTGCTTCTCATATGACAAACTTCCTGGACATGTCTTGGGGGCAGTTAGCTTTTGTTAGTGCCATCCCGACGGTTCACTCGGAAAATTTGTGTTTTTTGGCATGAATGCTACGTGCTTTCCTCCAACCTGTAAAGGTTTGAGGCCGAAAACCTTCCAGATCCCAACATGCTACTCCACAGCGTTGAGCCTCCAACTTGACATGAGGCAAGGGGAGAATGGTTTTTTTCCCGTCACGTGTCTCCATTTTATCATCAATTTCTTTTACGCAACTCAGATTTGGAGCAATATAATAAACAAGTCAAATTAAGCAATTCCTAAAGTTCAATATTAGAAATATGGAGGTACAGTGGGAAAGGCACTCTGGCTCCCAGATGTACACAGAATTAGCTCATAATGCATTTTGAAAACCAGTCAAATTTAAATATAAGAAGATTCAAGATTGTCGATTTATCAACTACTCGGTTAACTACCAAAGCTTTCAGGCCTTGATTTTGGCTGCGAGCTTGGAAATTGCTCCTCAAGGCATGCAACACTTCTAAAACTCAAAATTCCCTTTTTAATGCCTAAAGTGCCTCACATTGGTGAAAAGCAGGGATACTCCGTATTTCTTACAGCAGTCGATAGCATCGACATCTCTGATGCTACCTCCAGGCTCCGCAATGACGCTTATCCCACTTTGACATGCTTCTTCAACAGCATCGTTCCAGGCTGTTCACAAAAGAAAACTTTAGAAAGATAGGGGTAGGTAACCAGTTGTCTATGATTTGATTTGGCTTATCCTTCAGTCTTATGTTCTGCTACCACTTGGAACTTTTTCATGTCAAGAAGTCCCTTCAGTGGTGCAGACCTATTACCTTTCTCAATCCAAAAATAAAAATAAGTAAATTAATAAATAAACCTCTCCCTGACATTTTGTCTTTAATCCCACCTCAAACTGAACTCAGCCAGGTAAATAAACCAAAATCCAATATTGGTTCATTAAGGTAATGAAATGTTTACCAAATGGAAAGAAAGCATCACTAGCCAAAGCAGCTCCCTTGACTTCATCCCCAGCTTTCCTTAAAGCTATCCTGAAGCTTTCCAACCTGTTTGGTTGCCCGCTTCCCATACCTAACATGCAATTGTCCTGCCAAGCAAGGAGTAGGGTCAAAAACAAATCATCTGAATCTAGACATTTTTTACCACCTGTATTCTTTTTATTTCCTTACTTGGGGGAAATGTTGTTTATGTTCAGCTAGATTAAACTCACCTTTGCAATGACAATGGCATTACTCTTGACATGCTTCGCACAGAGCCATGCAAACCGTGCATCAGAAAGCTCACTTTCTTGTGGAGCCTTATCAGAGACTGATTTGAATTCGATATCTTCAGAAACTAAATCATCTGAATCCTGAGCTAACCAACCCCCACCAACTTGCCTGAGCGAGAGTTTTCCTTTACTATTTTTACTTGCCTCAAGTATTCTCAAAGCCTTGGATTTTCCACGAAGAACCTCTAGCCCCTTTTTGGTATACTTGGGTGCAACAACAATCTCATAAAACATTCGAGTTTCATTGTCAGTTGGGCTTCTAAATTCTCGAATGTCCTTAGCCAGCACCTAAGGAGACAATTTTCAAGAACTTGAGCAGTTAAAAATGGATTTCAGTTGTTCCAAATGAAAAACAGCTAACATTATATCAAGATCATTGTAGAGCACATTGTGCAATGGTTAAGCACAGGCACCACATTTCATCACTCAGATTAGAAGTTAAAATTTGAAGACAAAACATTCCCCTAACTGGGCTAGGGCCTGAAAAAAAAAATAGCACAGAACTTCAATGTCAACACCATGAAGAAGACATGAAAATTACCTCATCAACTTCCACATTAAAGGCTACAATACCACCAAAAGCGCTCACTGGATCTGCTTTCACCGCCAGTCTATATGCTTCAACAATATCATCACGTGAAGCAACTCCACAAGGATTTGTGTGTTTCACAATGACACAAGTAGGTCTATTAAATTCACACACGCAATTCCACGCTGCATCTGCATCTAAATAGTTATTATATGACATCTCCTGTACCAAAGGATACAAAAGCAATCTGAGTCTGATACAAAGTTCAAATTATAAAAAATCTCTTACTCAATGTAAAGCTCAAAAATAGGAAGTTAACACAGTAAATGGAAGTAATTCCAGATTTAGCTAAAAAGAGAGATTCAATAAGTTTGAAAAATGGAAGCATAACACAAGCAGACTCGCTCAGGAAAATTGAAAACACACTAATTAAAATGATAAGACATCATTTAGAAGACAGCAAGCATTTCTTTCATCTGGAGAAAATGTACAAGGTTATTAATTTGCAGCGTTATGGTAAAATGTCTATAAAAGGATATAAATTTTCAAACCATAAAAACTTTGATTACAGCAGAGCTGTAACTAATTTATAGCAGGATAAGATTTAAAAAACCCTGAAAAAGGCACAAAGAAATATGGATAACACTACTTGCAAGCAGTTCAAAAGCTTTACTCCCTGATTCCTCACCACACTAGACCCCATCACAAAAGAGGACGGCAAAACTTCACTATACTCTCCTCTGTTCCAGGTACAACAAAAATTGTGTCGAGTCAAATGATATCATTTTCCTTTTGTCCAAAAGGAAAGGATAAATATAATCATCCTTAATACACCAAAGGATTCATTCCTCTCTCCACCAGGTTGATCTTTCAACATATCAAAGCAAAGCCTTGATCGTGTTATATCACTTACATTCAGTTCCATGACCAACATGAAACATGGCTAACTTTCGATTGAGGTAGCACACAGTCAGCCTAATGGAAAAGGTCATTAAATAGGACACTCTATGGAACAAAATCATTCAAGAAATGAGGCCTGAAAAGAATGCAGATCGAGTTAGGCATCAGTCGCTTACCTTTCCATGGTGTTGAATAGCAGTTGCAATACCACCACCATTAACCTCAGCAAGAGACTTGTCAACATAAAATGCAGCCTTCTGGTGAGGATTTTCACCATACCGAAGTGCATTTTTGAGTGAGAGAGACGCAGTCATATTGGGAGGAAACTTATCTTCAAATCCACAAGAAACTAGTCAATATGAGTGGACAGATGATGGGATGATTCAAACTTATTGGTTTTCAACCTTTAAATAAAGAACCCACAATCTTTCGAGTAGTTGCCAACATGAATTCAACTTTTGAAGCATGTAGAGATAAGGAATCTCATGGCAAAGCGATCTTGGAAACTATACGTCTGGCATGGATGATTTGACAAAAATATTTCTACCCATAAGAAAAATTAATACCTTCTGATGTTTGCTTCCACAACCACTCTGAAACTGCAGTGTCGTAAGAGGCAACATGCTGGAAAGCCTTCTGAGCCAGCTTTCTCCTAAATTGTTGGTTGTCTTGCTTTCCACGAAGAAACTCTAGAAGTGCAGGGTAGTCTTCTGGATCAACCACCACCAAAACATCCTTGTGATTCTGTGGATATAGCATTGAAAAATAAGACAGTTGTCATTTGGTGCTATCTTACAGATTAGCCTAAAGAGCATTTTTTGCTACCATAGGAAAAGACTTTGACTTGCCAATACACACAAGTAGGGTTTTTCATTTATAACAAGATATATCACCTAAACATTAACGCACAGATATGAAAGATGCCAATTGAAGCTCACACAAGTGATTTGCAACTGAGCCTAATTACAACTAATAAACCTTCAAAACTAAAAAGATGTAAGAAAGAGTAACTTTTGTTTGCATTATACAAACTCCACAAACAGTAAGAACTTTTATTTCTTTGTCATCAAGAAGCAGGGCTATAGTATTATTCTTTACTACTTGCTACAGCACCACAGGTAATTTAAAGCACTAGCTTCAAGCTCACAAAGCTTTTCAAAAGCGCATCATTTGATGCATCATTACTTTAGTTTTCCTCAAACTCATGACTCATTAAATCCCCAGTGTTTAGTATCAGACCCTAGAATTAGACAATTGTTGAGTCTAATGTTACACAAGGTTTATACAGGCCTGCCTAAAGAATTTGACAGCTTTTCAAAACATATCCAGCAGCAAGGAGAATGGATATGAGACATGTTAATAAATAAAATGAAGAAAACAAAAGCAACAAGGTTGAGGTTAATAACCTTTGCGGCAGCTCTTATCATGGTTGGGCCACCAATATCAATGTTCTCAATTGCATCTTCAAAAGATATTCCACTTGAAGAGGAAACTTTTTCATAAAATGGATATAAATTGACCACCACTACATCAATTGTACCTGCAAAAGGGAGTTGTTTTAAAGATGGCTGGGGTAACGTAATAAGGCAAACAAGCAACTAAAGTCTTCCACTCCAGATGCAAGGAAAGGTGTTCATTTTTCAAATTGAAGATGCAAACATTCTGAAATACATTTTCATGTCCTATTTATTTCAGTTACACATATCAGATAGGTAATGTAAGATAACAATAAAAGTATGACTTGCAGCATTGGCAGGATATGATTAAGGTGTTGTTTATGGCCTTGAAGATTAAAGGTATAGTCAAGGGGATGCAGTTCCTTAGTTACTCTTCCAGGGGATTACAACTACCCACATGACATCTTTCATCGCCAATTTGAAGGTCAACAGGTTCTCAGAGCCTGCTCTCAACTCTAAAATGAGAAAGTGACCAATT